GTGAACATAATCTAGGGACCAATATCTAAAGTTCCCTCTTGGCAAAAGTTGGAAAACTTACTAAAACTGAGCTTCTATAAGGCAATGAATATTGCGGAGGGCGTGGCTCATCACATAAAGGTGTATAACATCTCAAGGGTTTCACCGATCACCACGCAACTTTGTAGGCATATGACCACACATAATCTGAGGGGACCCCTCCATTATTGACCACATCAAACAAAATGGGGGCGCTAGAGAGCTAATTTTTTATCTAGGCCTAACCACCATATTGATTTTTACTAAACTTGGTAGATATGTAGAACAGGACGCCTCAAGGTAACTGGAGAAATTTAATTCTAATTGGCAACTGGGTGGTGCTATAACAACAGAAAAATGCTTAAAAATGGCTAAAATGTGACCTATCACTGTGGCTTCCCCTGTGGCCGAATGTTTTTTGGTTTTTTTTCTTCTAATTTTTGGTATGACTAAGTCATGGTATGGTATGCTGCTGCAACAAGGGCTAGCTGCACCTTTCCCATGTGAGCTACCAGTGCACCCCACTTTTAAGTCAATACAACATATAAACACTTTAACTATCTGCCTTTCAACGTGCTACCTCAACTACTAATGTACAGTTTTAGCCCACTAACTATCCCACTATTGGATACATATTATGTAGATAATCATCAGTTTCTACAAAATGCTTTAAATAATGTGCTGGGAATACGCAACAGCTGTGACTACTACCCAGTACAATGATGAATGTTAAAGTAACACCTAACTAATATTACTAGCCTTGTAAACTCCAGAGAGCTTTATTGTTTTGGGGTCCTACCACTATCGATGTTGGAACCCCATTGTATTTGCTGCATGTTTTATTGTTTGTTTTGTGTGTGGAGGTTAGAGTTCTCAATGTGCCGAAAAATTTACAACTCAAATATAACCAAACTATGTGAATCAAAGCCTAAAATATTGACCCTGAGCCCGACCAAGCCTGACCCCCACAAAAAGCAGCAGTCAGCTCCTATCGCCCGGGATGCTTCGGCTATGTGGCGACACAAGCCATGCATGTCTCAAGTGGAAAATGGACCAGCTCGGTGGATCACCAACTCTCCACACTGTATTTCCCTCCCAGAGCAGCTGCTTTGGGAGAAATGCTCCCTCCCTGCTCTGGCTGGGAGGAAGGACAGAGAGACCAGCACGGAGCCTGGCTGCTCCAGCTCCTTCTCTCTCTGCCTGCACTTTTTATTCTTTTATATTTAATTATTTAAAAAACAAACAAACAAAAAAAAACAAAAAACAGTTCTTTTTTTTGCAGAGCTCAAGCCCTACGTCACCTGGCCAGTCAGCGCACATTTTCGTCCCAAACCTGGTCCAACCTGTCGGGTTTTTCTGTAGCCGTTGGGCTCAGGTTGAGATTGAGAACTCTCCTTCATAGCTGTATTTTTCATTAGGGAGTAGCTTTGTGTCTGTCTCATATTTGGTGTGGGATTTGTTTGGGCAGTGTGAGAGTGTGAGACAGAGCCTGTAAGTGGGTGTCTCATGCTGAAAGTTTGAGAGTTGGCAACCTTGTTAACATCATATGAGAAAATATTTAGAACATTATTGGTGCTGTTTGTTAGGAAAGGTGAGGGTTTCCATTATGCAATCCACTGACTCGAATTAAAGGTATCTGATGGGGTGTCTTGTGAACAAAGTTTCTATTTCCATTCAGTGTTTCCTCACCAAAACCAATTGTGTGTGTCCTTGAGATCTAATAAATATGTTGAGTGCATTTACTTCCTCATAAAACACACCATCATAAAGCAGATTTTTCTAATACATTTCAAACCAGCATTGTTTACATCCATTTTAACCTGCTTGCAGTCTTCGACCCCACCTTCGCTGGTGCATAGGTTTGTTTCTTAGTACATGTTAGAAAGCACTGCTCTGTAGTGCTAGCAGTTGTCAAAACTTCACAGGGTACTTTTAAAGTACTCTTTAAAAGTCCTTTTAAAGTACCCTTTAAAAGTACCCTGCAGCACAAATAAAAAATAAGACTTTCTCATATGGGTTACATGCAGGGGCGATTGCTCTGAGACAACAAGGGAGGCTGATCTTCCCTTAAAATGTCATAGAAGAAATGGTCAAATATGCACTATTGAATTTACATTGCATTAAACGTGCACTAGGATGCGTTTCACATCGTGACTATGATGTTCAAACGTCAGCTGTTTATCACCAGTTTTCAAACGCGACCTCCCTGTCATACATTCTCAGCACAGTGGACGCGGAGCCTCCAAGAATTCTTATGAGACAACGCTGAGCAGGTTTTTTTCATGCAGCAAAGCGAGATGGTCATTGGATAAATGCAACAAAATCGTCACTTCCAGGGAGGCTCAGCTTCCTTGGGACCTAATGGAGCAGTAGGCGGTAGAGGACACTAGGTGTATGCATGATGATTAGAGGAATTGTCTAAAGGCTGAACCCCTTTGTGATTGACAGCGCTTCACATTCCGAGCTCAGTCCTATCCCGATGTTTGCGAGTGGAGTCTTCTGACAGAGTGCCGTCCTGAGTTCCATATTTCCATAAGCCATATAGCTCATTTTCACTGTTAAACCCATCTGAAAATCTTTGAGGTGTGTTTTGCTGTGGTTCTATGGCATGAGTGTGGTTGAAAAACAGCTTCAATTAAATGTTCCTTTTATAAGTTAGTGACTCGCTACAATAGCAGCCGCCACTGGTTACATGTCCTGTTTTGTTTGTTTTGTCGTTTGTGGAGGAGTAGCTTCTACATTAGCGGCAACTAATAGGGATCTGAATTATGAATTAAGAATCTGCTTCTATCACTGAGCTTCTGCACATAATACTAAGTATTCTATGTAGTTAGGAGATCATGGATATACTTGTCTATCATGCTATGGTTGATTCAGGAGTTTCTTTCTATAGTAATAAAGCAGTGAACAGAAAAAATAACTTAACATATACATTTGTATTTTGCTTTTTGGGATTACAGTCTATCACAGAGAACATTACGAAATGATTTATTGAGATTAGTTTTAACTCAGACTTGCACTTCCAGACCCTTATGGCTGGAGCAGATTTTTGGCTGTGTCCACTGCAGGAGGGCATTTTAGCATGCCCAAGAACATATGTGTTAAAAGAGCCATTTTGTCCACTACCTACCACTGCCTCTACCTCCTGAGTACCCCAAGACACTGCAACTTCGGTTCCGAGTTGCATTGAGTGCTAGGACCCCTGGGTACACCTGCTTGCATGTCAGTTTTTTGTTACTACAAATTTTCCTTCTGTACATAACTAATAGTAATCAGTTTTTAATTAAAATATGTGTTTGTTTTATACTGTTGTTCCTGCAGAGGAGTGGATCCTTTAACATGTATTTGGCACCCTTTCACACCTCACAGCAGCATGTACACTGAAACTGACCAAGTCAGGCAAACACATCACATCACAGTTCTTAAGATTAGACTTTATTGTAGCTGAAATTCTATTGATTTTCATCTTTTCCCAGCACTTACAAACAGTGCAAATTTTTAAATGTCTGTTTTGCAAATGAGTAAAGTGAGAGGAGCTGCAGGTTGCCGCAGTAAGTTTTTACACTGAAAAAATTCACATAAATCTCAGAGTTAGTTAGCAGAGAGGCTTGGGGATCTCCTAAATAATTTAATGACATAAAGGTGTTGCGTGATGGCAACAAGTAATCAACATTCGAGTTCTTTTTTTCCTGTCAGTTTAGTAGGGTAAAGTGCTCTAAATACTACAGCCATGTATCCATGAGTAGGCAGTTGCTATGGTTAAGATAGCAACCAGAGATGTAAGTCACAGTTGTAACTTAGAATTTATGAAACAGAAACAAAACACAGTGTCATTGCTGCTGAATCCATCCACAATTGACCCTGAATCTGAAAGTGAACTGATTTAAACAGCTGAATTTATTAAAAGGTTTACTTAACAGAAGTTTAGCTCACTGATTGGATGTTTCTCAGTTAACACCCATTGGAAATTAAAGTTAAGTAAGTTTTTATGTCCACATGCCTGTACCTATTTTACGTCCCTATGACCTGGCTAACCTCCCATCCACAAACAGCAGGGTAAGGACTTGTAATTCTGATAGCCAAAGACTACAAGGAAAGCTAGTGACTAAGACTCAAACTGTGGATGACTTTGCAGTAAATGATTTAAAGGGCATGATCATTGAGAACAGTGAAATGTACTGCTTTTTATCAGTGACATGGCAAAAATAATCCCACATGTATCTGTTCATTCTCTGTGTTCTCTCCAGCCTACATGGACACATCCGACTGGGAATTCCCTGATGTTTGTAGGTACTACTTTGGCAAGTTTGGCAAGTGGTCCAGCTTGGTCTTCTCCATGGTGTCACTTATTGGAGCCATGGTGGTTTACTGGGTCCTCATGTCCAATTTCCTTTACAACACCGGACAGTTTATCTACAGTAAGTCACAGTACTGAGTTAGCATCAGAAAAAAGGTGTCACAATGCAGTTTCATTTGGTTGATCAGCACACATCAGTGGTGTCTAATTATGGCCAGCCCTTCAAACATTTAATCAGTAGGGCAGACTAGTACCACAGAAAGGAAGAGTAAAAGCATAAATAGCCACAGTAAGATGTTGATGAAAAGATGCAAACAACAGGCTCTTACTGCACCTCTGCAAACAGCTCACCCCAACAGGTAAATGTCTTTTACCTGCCCTGCTGTGTGATGGAAAAACACATGCAGCAATCACAATAACAATAACAGGGGCTTAAGCTGTGGAGCAACCTGCTGCTTTTAAATGTCATCACCCAAGACAAGCCATCATCAGTTAGAGACACACCTTCCAGCAGGTAGCCCTGTTGTAATGGAAATGCAAATCCCTGCTGTGCTGGGCTGACGGCCCAAACCAAAGTGAGCCAAGCCAAGCCAGCCCATGACTGTCGAAAAGGGGTATTAGACTTGCCTTTATTGAAGAAAAGCTGCTAACAAAGTTCCCCTAATTCAGTGCTTAACAAATTTCATTTCCTATAGATTATTCACAATAAAAGTCCCTGTTAATTTCTTATGTATAAATTTTTATTGTGAAGCACCAAAATAAGGAAATGTTGAGTTTTCAAGCAGCTTCTAATACGGCTAATAGCGAACATGAAACAGTAAAATGAAGCAGATATCTTAAGTATAAACAGGACACAGGAGAGAAACTAAACTCCAAACCACAAAGATTCAGTTAGAAGCTACAAAAGTACTGAGAGTTGACCACACAGAGACTTTTAGAGACACCTTTCTCTCTCGTCTCCCACAGACAGAGGTGAGTAGAGTCTTGCAATACATATACACGCTTGTTTCAGGTGAAGAAAAGCTTGGCGTGGCACGGCATATCTAAACTGATAATGGAAATGCACTCAAATTTAATGATGGATATCAGTAATTCCTTTTTCTCTAGTAAGAATAATGATTACAGATATCTACAATTGAATTTTCACATTTCAAAAAAAGATTGTAACTAGTGAAAATTTATTTTCCCATATCAGACTGTATTTATGATATGTCCGACATATTAACAAACCATTTCAGAATTGTAGGCATCATAGAAAAATACATAAAATGATACAAAGTAAGACGTTAGCACTAGGATGAGTGTTTCCATGAGTTCCACCGTGGCTGTATTTAAACATTTATCATCCCAGTGACTGCCGCATCTGGTTCATGTTGAATGTGTGTTAGCATGTTGGATGTGTTCCCAACCACATACCCTACAAAGGTCCTTGTTTACTACACAGCTCTTTCTCTGCTGCTGTTGTGACTGACCAGGAAGGTGCATACGGGTCTTCCACCTGTGCTGTTTAATTTGCCAGTCCACTTTTTGTGCTAACCTCAGCACCTCTTGCTGGGGTGGACAGCTAAATGTTTCCAGTCAGAAATTGCACTTGGGAACTTTGGTTGCTTATTACATCTATCAGTCTCCATACTGTGTGCATCTGCGTGTGGCTGTGTCCACCAGGCTGTCACCTCTGTACTGTCTGTGACGGTTCAGTACGAATACACAAATGATTACAGCTCTAATGAGCATATTTTTTCAAAGTCTGCATCGCCATGTGCTCACCACTGAGTCCATTGTCATGCCATTGTGACTTTAAAGGTTTACTACTACTCACTACTGACCCACTCTCAGTGTGTGCTGGTGTATTTATCTGCAAAGACTCTGCCCTCTGCTTGAATTTTCTTAAGGAGTTTAGATATAGTATTTTTTGCCGTTATGTAACAACTCATTTGACCGATAACCAATACCGGTTACAATATATCAACTTTTTTTCCCAGCTAATTTTAGTGATCATCAAGTCTCTTCTGTAGTGGAATTAACATCTTTTTATACATGCGTACTCTTAACATGATGGCCCACCAGCAGATGGAGACATGAAATACATTGCTTTTCAATGTATGTAATATTCATTCGTTATGCAAAATAAGAAAAAACATGTTGGCCAATTCTGATGGTTCATTTTACAGCCAATATCAGCCAATATCGACGACATGCCAATATTATTGTGCATCCCTAATTTTCTTCTTTCTTCTTATGTTGCTGTGTTGGGTATGTTCCTGGTCACCGTGCGCAGGTGAGGTTGGGACTTAATAAAAAACGGTAGCAACCAGGTGCCAGACTGTAAGCTGCATGCTAGAGTCCTGCACTGGTCCATTTTTTCGAAAAACCGCACCCATCCATACCCATAAAGCTCAGTACCAGAACTGACCTGTTACCTGTCATTATGTCTAAGTCGAAGCCATGCCTCCCCACACCAATTTATAAAAGTCTTGCGACCCAACCCACACTCATGATTAAACACACACAGGCTACAGTTAATCACATTAAGCTGGGTTCTCCATTTTTGAATTACAAATCCAGTGGACTAAAAGTCTTTTCCACTGGCTGTGGTTGATGCGGGGATGGCGAAAACATTCTGCACAATCACTGCCAGGTTAGGAAACGTTTTAGCATGCTCCCTACACCACTATAAAACCTTAAAAGGGTCCTCCCTGGGTGTCTTAAACTCAATGTATGCTACCACCTCATCCTCAGGCTTAAAAGTTTCATGGGTGGAGTCCTCCACATTAGTAACGAATGTGACGACAGAGTCAAAGGTTACAGTTGTCACTGACTTACCAAATAAAAGGAATTGCGGCTTGATAATAGTGATTTAGATGTTAAAATATTACACATTCTGAAAAATAAAAAAATCATTTTTTTCTCACCTGCTGCCTGCCCACGTGTAGTTCATTTTTACACAGCTTTTTGTGGGTAACCTGGTGGGCAGCTGCGGCAGCCAGTGCAGAGGAATCTACAAAAATCATGGACACAACACCAAAAACACAATATTGTGAGGTGAAATGTCAAGCGGACAACGCTTGTTCCAAAGCAAGAGTAATTCTGGGATTGGCTTCAGTTTCACTGAGGATCGTGTTTACAAACAGGAACACAATTCCTGTGTAGTGTACCTTTTTAAGTAGCTAGTTAAGCAGCTAGCTAGTTCATGTCATCAGATTCACTGTACATCATATGTTCTTAATGTATTTTGCAAATATCATGGAACTACACATCTCTGTATGTTTCAAAGTCCAAACCTCTTTTGACCTTTTAAATTCTGCAGTGATGTACACTTAGAGTTACCCGTTGCAGAGCAGGCTGGTGGGAGTAGATGGGTGGCTCTGTCTGTCGAGAGAGTGATATCATAGCACTGTTAAGAGTACACATCAGAAAGCCTGCTTATAGATAATGGTTATTTTGTGGAGACTGATGGTAAATTATTAGTGGTTGCACCACTAAAAGTGCAGAAAGAGCTTTTGCTTGATCTGATAGTTTCCTCTCCTGTCTACAGACTATGCTCACAATGTCAACATGTCAGATTCAGAGTTTGGAACCAACAGCTCAGATAGAGGTAAGTCACTTACACTATCTGACTTTCAACTTTAACTTCATTGTAGATGTGGGTTTTAGCAGTGGTCACATTGGACCTCATGTACAAACACTGTGATCGAGCAAATCTGTGATTAAACTGTGGGCATGAACATTTTACACACAAATCTGGGAGTCATTATTATTTTCTTACTTTGAATTTGTTCATATTCTGCAAACACATTTAGAACTGCCTCAGCCATGCATATACACAAATGATTAAGGCCTAACTGTCCTAGAGAATGTAAACACACGTTTTAATTAATGCAGAGCATATTAAAACCACATTCACTAAAAAAGGCTTTAATTAATAATAATTCCAACCCTTAATTTAATAATGCATCGGCTAAATATATCAAATAACTATGAAACTGACAACCTTTTATCCACATGAGTTACTGTCATAACTAATATTCAACCATAAAAACTGAGTGTCCCAGTCCTAGCTTACAATGGAGTGTATGAAAATGTCCTTATTGAAATCTAACAGTTTTGGTTTTCATTGTTTTTATTTGCTTGGATGATAATGATTGATGGCGTCATTATGCTAAATTTAACCTGTATTGCATTAATGGTAAATGGACTTCACCTGTAAAGCGCTTTTCTAGTCTTCTGACCACTCAAAGAACTTTTACACTACAGGTCACATTTACCCTTTCATTCTTTGATGATCCTTTCTGATTTATGCCCAGGGAAAACCACAAAAACGGGCAAAAGTTTTCAGAGCCAGAGTCACTTTTCTTACGACCAAACAAATCATTGCCTCGCTGATGTGTTCAGTATCTCTGATGTTAGAAAGAAAACTGCCGCTGCTTAAGAATCACAGGGCAATGCAAAAAATTTGCTCCGATGATAATGCAAATCCACGATGAGTAATATTTGATATATCTGGATGGAACAGATTGTTAGATAAGTGATAGAGTGTGAGGTGAAATGGTATCTTTCATATTGACACTCCTCCAGGAATGATAAGACATCCATATGGGGTCTAATCACCATCTTCATATGCAGCAGCCCCTGAATAATTTGTGCCTCAACATCAATGACTTTATTCACAAAAGAACATGCAATGTTTCCCCCTCCTGCTACATGCTCACTTGCTGAGCTGGTTTGCTTCACAGAGTATGTTGCCATAGTAACTGGCTCAGGGTTACGCTGAACTGGCTTTGTGAAGTGGAAGACTCAGAGTTTCCCTCATCTCAGGCTTAACATACTCAGAGTTTTCACTAATCCTGCTTTCTGAAATAGGGCCCTGCTCTATCTCTGAGCCACAGCAGCAATATGATCATGTGATTTACATAATATTATGTTTGTAGATGGACTAAAAAAGTCACCAGTGTCTGACTGGCAGTGAGCCGAGGTCATGAAGGGGATCATGTTTCAGGAGATGGGTGGGGCAGAGCGCAGACACTGTGTTTCTTTACAAAGTTTTTTATTTATTTATTTTTTTTATTTTTATTTATTTATTTATTTTTTTTTTTGAGGCGACAAGAGGAGATGTAGCAAGAAAATTAAAATTGCACCAACATGGCAGCACTTTGGATTTGAAGCCAGCATAGGGGTGTCCAAAATAAGCGAGGCAGTACTGCTGTTACTGCTACTTAAATTTTGTTGGACACCATGTTTATATTTATATTACTCGACAATGACTGAGGAACGACTGATTAATGAAGTTAAGATGAGGAATTATCCACCTGATAACTTCTTATTTCACTGCACAAACTTAAATAAGGTGGAGGCTCGCTGGAAAAAGATCGCCAGGGGGCTGACAGTTTCTGGTCTGGTGAGCTAAATGAACATCGTTTATAACAAGCCATGCTACTTTCTGTTAGCTATGTTGTATGTCAATTTTAGTAAATATCACAATATAAAAGGAAGATAGCAAGTAGGCTACTCACTCATGTTTTAAGTGGTTACATCTGATCTCAAGCAAACTGCTGATATTTATGTGGTTTGTTTACATGAAGTGCACATGTAATGGATTCACTGTGCACAGGGAGCTGTGACACATGGTAAAATTCGGCATACCGGTCCGGTCCGGTGGTTTAATATCAAACTGGTTTGAAAATTTTTACACTGGCCCAACCCAGGGGTGGGAATCATGATACGATATTACATTACTTTAGTCACGATAGTCTGCTCTTGTTTGGAGAACGTGAGGCAGCAGTCGCCAGTCCTCTGTGAGATAATGTGCCCTTATAGTCCCATATGAATCCACTGACCTTGAAGTTCAGGTCAAGTTAATGCCACCCTTCCTGCTGTACTTAAAGATTCCTCAACTTTATGCTTCACTGTAGAGCTTGGTTGGCTGTGTTGGTGAAAAACATCAGGACAGAGTCACATACCTGGGTTCCAGTGTTTTTAGTATGTAACAAACAAAAGCCCTAGTTTTCAACAACGCTGTATGGACGCAGCTCTTTGCACATGAAGTAGGTGATGGACTGTGTTATTTTCTTAGCTCTCTCAGAGTTGGATGGTAGTTTTGTCAAGCTAAGTGTGTTCAGTGTTGGTTGATTTTTTGGCAGAGCGGGTGTAGTATTAGCTTGGCTGTCAGTGGCTAATGCTAAAAAAAATCCCAAGTAAGTCCAGACGTTTGATTTAAACACTGATTTAAACACTGATGGTGCATTTCTGATTTCTTTCTCTGGTGCCTCTCTGGTGTCAGTGAAGATATCACTACTATCTTTTAAGATTCACTTAGTAAATTCTGATTTTTTTTAATTTTATTTTATGTAGGTGAAGGAGACTTGTGTATGTTTGTTGCACCCACATTTCTGGACTACACACTTGTTATATTTGAAGAAATGACAGGCTGTTTCCTAAATCACACGTAGGGGTAAAAAAAAAAAAACTTTTTTAGTAAGTAAATTGACTGTCCTGGTAATGCTTTGCTGATTTGTTCAACAGTCATCTGTCCATACCCAAACACTGACCCTCAAGGGAACTACACTGTCTGCATGCTGTACCTTAGTACCAATGGAAACGATACATCTGATGTCAGCTCTTTTGAACACTGGTGGAGTAAAACCAACACCATCCCTCTCTACCTCATCATTCTGCTGCTGCCGCTGCTCTGCTTCCGTTCAGCCTCCTTCTTCGCAAGGTTCACCTTCTTGGGTAAGACAGAACAAAAGCAATGACATAAACAGTGGGTAGCAGTGTATGTCATAAGTCAAACAGCTTGGGCTTTGTGCCACCAAATTTTCTTTCTAATTCACTGTTGGTGTTTTTAAACTCAGCACAGTTCACAGCTGAGTTTTAAAACATCAGCAGTGACCTGGGGAACACCAGGTGCTCCTCTTTAGATCTTTGATTTTCTTTGAATCCTAGCTAAAGGGTAAGCTGCCATAATTGCTTTTTGGCAACCAGGTAGCCGGCAGTTTGTTGGATTTCTGATTGAAACATACTTATTCCTCTTTAAAGAAACCTAACAACTGACTGCAGGTGTATAAGGTAAGCAAGCAAATCAGCCAGCATACTAGAGCTATGATCAGGTCAAACCTAACATCAACCCACACAGTTTCTGAATAGGCCCCTAGATTTTCTGAATATGCTGTGTGCTGCATCAGTCATCCATTCTTGTTGTTTTGTTCCATCTCGTTCAGGCACCATTTCGGTGGTCTACCTGATTGTGCTGGTCACTGTTAAAGCTGTCCGCCTCGGCTTCCACCTGGAGTTCCACTGGTTTGACACAAGCCAGTTCTATGTTCCAGGTAAACCCTCACAAGTAGGCAGATATTGGTTATTGCTTGAAGTTAAGATTATACAGGGCCATTCCTGTGACACTGTAGTATTTATCCCTTTAACAACTTTAGATGTATAAGCCCCTTGTAGACAATGTTACTGACTAATAGGGGTGGGAATCACCAGAGGCTCCACAATTCGATATTATCATGATACTTTAAGTAATGATACAATACTAATGCAATTTTTTTTTTTTTTTTAAAGATTATTTTTGTGGGCTTTTTGCCTTTAGTAGTCTCGCCACCAGACAATCAGAGATCTCCGCCTTCTGATAGTCTGGGGACACTCCTTTCTAAAGTGTGTTTAACACACCGGCGAAAACGGCCGGCAACAAAGCAACGCCTCTTGCATTTTTGAAAAGGACACGCCTTCTCGGAAATGTGCGCTCCTCCTTTTCTCGTCCGCAAGGAAACAAACACACAGAAAGCTTGAAAATGGATGCCGAGAGATTTAACTCCGTTTTATCAAACGTGTGCTCATCCGTGAAGGAAATATTTTTTCCAGCGGATGTCTTAGTTACAACATTATTGAGCTAACTGGAGTAGTTTCATGTCATGTATCCGACAACGGAAGGCTTTTAACAGATGACGTGCTGATGTTAGCTTTGCTGCTGCTGTTAGCTGTCCCTGTCAGCTGCAGCCACTGATGCTTTCTAGACATCGTGATTTCCTAAAACTGAATAAATACCACACATAGCAACACAAAACTGCTTTGCTAGCTCAATCATGTTGTAACTAAGATATCCGCTGGAAAAGATATTTTTTTCACGGACCGTTTAATGAGTTATTACCTATTACAGACACCGCTAACGGCTAACAGGGCTAACAGCTAACGGTTAGCCCAGCTAAACGTGCACACAGAAATAGTAATGTTTGTTCAATCATTGTGTTTATAGACTTTACAAACATCGGATTAGTCCAAACGGTGATACAGTGATGTGAAAAATGTGATATACAGGCTATATATATATAGCTAAAAGCTCTGCTGGTTTTCTACCCGGAAGTATTTGTAAACAACAAGGCGATTCCCTCTAACGTTATAGTCCGGCCGGACGGATGAGTCATGGCCTTGTAAAAGATTATGTTTGTTTCTTGTAGTTGGCGAGAATGTGTCACCGCAAACGCGACAAACATCCACTAACTTTGACGGCGTTTTCTGCGAGCACAGCTGAGCCATTTTGTACCGCTACACATGTTTCTAGTGGGACTATGTTTACAAGCACAAGAGTTCAGCGAGCCACCGAAGGACCGCCCTGCAGATTTACTATTGGTTCTGCAACGTAGGGAGTTTTTTTAAACTCTGAAATTGTATCCGCCCATCTAAACACAAAATCAGGGAGAAAGTCATCAGTCTTTAGGTAAGCAAAGCATCTAAAGACTGACTTGTGAGTCTATGCCTTTAATGACAGGACAGAGAGTGAAATGGGGAGACAGAGAGAGAGTGGGGACTGACATGCAGCAAAGGGCCGCGAGTCGGATTCAATACTAATGCAATTTTGAATGTGTTTCAATATGCTCATTATAGTTATCCCTTGTGATTTATTTCCTGTTTTCAACCGTAAATAATGTCACCAAAGGAAAATGTCAACATCTGTTTTCGTCTAATAAGACCATTTACAACCTGTTCATATTACTTCAGCCATTTTTTCCCCCAGCAAAATGTATTTAGTGGACTGAAAAAGCTACTGATTATACTACTCAAGTTGGCTAACTAAAGTTTAATTTTGATTTGTAATATTGATGATTTATAGAATATAAAGAAAAACCTGGCACTGTGTGACGATACAATATTGGCACACAAAAATATTGTGATACTATGCTGTATTGGTCTTTTCGGAACTGCTTTATGGCTGTGCCAACTTTAGATTTTTTTTATGCCTCTATGCCAGTGATAGCCGTGACTGAAGGCATTATGTTTTTAGGTTGTCCATCCCATGCACAATATCTGCAATATGCAATATTTCAAGAACACCTTGAGGGAATTCAAATTTGGTACAAACGTCCACCTGGACTCAAGAATGAATTGATAAGAATTTTGCAGTCAAAGGTCAGGGTCACTGTGACCTCAGAAAACATGTTTTTGGCCATAACTCAAGAATTCATACAGTAGTTATGACAAACTTTCACACATCTACATCTTATAGGATAAAATGAAGTGATGACATTTTCACTCCAAGAGGTCAAAGGTCAACTTCACTGTGACATCATAATGTTCTGCAAAAAACACTTTCCCTGCCATTATTCAACATCGTAACTATAAAAAATACAAACAACCTATATAGTCGTTTTTCTTACAGAATCCATTATCCATAATCACATTCCCAGCATGTTATCAGAAGACGAAAAAAGGGGATAAATAAATATAGTGGAACCTCAACAAAATGATGTCACCTCATCCATATAAGAAGTGTGGATAGGTCAGCCGTTAGAGTCCAACAGAGGTAAAAAAAAAATCCAAAAAAGGTCCCCAGATACAATCAAACTTCTTTGTTGTTTTTTTACTAACAGAATACAATATTCTATCAGGAGTACTATATTATATGAGTTCATTGATCCAGAGTTTGGGTGCTGGGGATTTTTTCAGATTTCCAGTTTTTCAGAATACATTTTTTTCTGCAGTACCTGCAAGCGGGATAAAGTACTGTGCTGACTGTACGGATGTTCTGTGCTGCTGGATTGAAAAATGTGTGTGAAGCATCCAGGTTTAGAATTTGTAACTGTGATGGCTACATTGTTCTGCCCTCTGTTTGAGCGCATATAATATATAAATAGGGTTTGTGGACTGCAGTGCCCCCTTTTGGCTGCTCAATAGCAGTAGCTATAGAGCAGGGAATTTCCCTCAGAGTTAATGAGCACATGGTAAAGAGCAAATGGTGACAGCTTCTCCTGCTGCAGTTTTGTCTTCAGCAATGTTGCCTTGGACACTATTTGTCCGTGAGTATTGTGGTTTAACATTTAATCGATATGACATGCACAATATGTTTTCTGTGCATTTGTTTTGCTGTAAATTCAGCTAAAATGACCTGTAGCCTAATGTTGCTAACTGGCTAACGTGCTTTGCTCTGCTACTCGGTATATTTTATTGCAGATATAGTCATGTCAGTGTGATAAGTATTCAGAATCTGATTTGTGTTTGCATTTTGTATTTTTGTTGCAGTTTTACAGTAACTGGTCTCCATTAAATTATCAAGAAAAGTCACGCCTTGTGGTTATTGGAGAACATGACTGTTCGCTAACTGTCTAGCTCTGTATGAGGACTCATTGCGAGGACAGTATATACATATTAGTCTGACATGGATGTAAACTGTAACTGCAACTTGACTGGTTTGGGGAGGCATACAACAACAAGGCAGTAATTCTAATCTGAAAATGTTTATATATTATTATATTTATCAAGATCAATATTGATCAGTCGACTGATCGATTTATCGATCAGGATATTGAATTTGGCTGTGATCAGAATTGACATTGATGAGTTTATTACTGTATCCATTGATGTAAATGTTGGATGACGTGTTTTTGGCCTGCTGGCATAAGGATGTTGATTTTGTCAGTTCTTTGGTTGATGCCCAACTCTTCTAGACAGACAGACAGGCCAACTATTACTGACCCAGATTTTTATGCAGTTTGATATTAAAATGTAGATCTTTATTACTTTTCCCCCAGCTCCACCATCTTGCCAAAAAATTGCCTCTCCCTCCCTTAATGACTGTCATAATAATTGACATTAAAATGTACTCTTCCTGCCCACAGGATGAACCTTTTCCATTTTGGCCTCTCCTTGAGCTTTCCTCTTTTACCGCCCCAGGGCCAAAATAATAACTTTTGCATGCAATTTACCTCATAATATGAAATCACAATGCTATGAAATTTGAACACAAAGCTTAAACCCTTTTGATTGTAGGAGGTAATGAACATTGCAACCATTAGGAGCACTAGTGTATTTTTTGGTTCTAAAAAGCAGCAAATGTATCATTTCTGTCTCCTTGGTTCTTTCAGAGTTCAGACTGCTCTTCCCTCAGTTTACTGGTGTCCTCACTCTGGCCTTCTTCATTCACAACTGCATCATCACATTAATGAAGAATAACAGACACCAAGAGAACAATGTGAGCTTTATTCACCCACGCTCCTACACAACTTCACACACTGCAAACATATTCATTAAACTGCACTAATCTGGTCTCTGCTGACTCTGTGTAGATAACACACTTCAGTCTCACAAGTTTTTTTTATTGTGAATTACATGAGTTGGTAGATTTTGATGTTACAAACAGGAAGGAAATAGTCTTCAAATATAAAAAATCAACTACATTTATTGACTTCAGAAAATAGTAAGTACAGTGCTGCTGAACCTAATGTGGACGTGTTTGTGTGTTTTCAGGTGCGGGACCTGTCTGTGGCTTACCTTCTAGTAGGGCTGACCTACCTGTATGTGGGAGTGTTGATCTTTGCTGCCTTTCCCTCACCTCCTCTCTCCAAAGACTGCCTTGAACCAGTGAGACTTACACTTCAGTTTTCTTTTCTTTTTTCTCCAGTGTCTAATTTTGATGGGTTTTTTTTGCCTCTGCGCCAACAATGGCCATGGCTGTAGGCATTATGTTTTCAGGTTGTTTGTCCGTCCATACGTAAGCATGTACATCATTCCCATCCTTGTGAATGCAATACCTCAAGAAGGCTTTAAGGGAATTTCTTCAAATTTGGCAAAAACGTTCTCTTGGACTCAACAATGAACTGATTAGATTTTGGTGGTCAAAGGTCAAGGTCACTATGACATTTTCTGTGTCATTCTTGTGAATGTGATGTCTGAAGAACATCTTAAGGGATTTTTTTTTTATTTGACACAGATGCCCACTCAGACTGAAGAATACACTGATTAGAATTTTGTGGTCAAAGGTCATGTTCAGTATGACCTCACAAAATACGTTTTTGGCCATAACTCAAGAATTCATATGCTAATTATGACAAAGCTTCACACAAATGTCTAATAGGATAAAATAATTAAATGGTGACATTTTATATCTAAAAGGCCAAAGGTCAACTTCACTGTACAGGGTTCGACATAACCCATGGCCCAATGGCCTGGGGCCAATCAGAGCATGTGAGCGGAGCGGAGCGGGTGAAAATTTCCGCTCCTCGCTCGCAGACCTGTCACTTTGCGCCGCTCGTCCGCTCCGCTTGGTTCTGCACATTCTTCGCTCCGCTCCATCATAAATTTTATCCCGCTCCACTCGCTCACCACACCGCTCAAAAAAACTGCGTCGTACTACCCTAACCTGTAATCTTCTATTCACAAATAAAACGGGGTCTGCCCATTTTTCCGACAGCCCATTGGTCCGACATCCCATTGTTCCGACCATATTAAACCCATTGTTCCGAAGTCCCGAAATCATCATGATGCCCTGTGGTTAAGGTCTGGTTAGGTTTAGGCACAAAAACCACTTGGTTAGGGTTAGGAAAAGATCATGGTGTGGGTTAAAATGAAAAAGAAAGTGGCAAACACATAAGCTGTGAGCCTGCTTTGCCTCATGCCTTTCCCAGCTGACCCAGAGCCGGTCGCGGCGCACCATCAAGGCAGAAATACGCCCGCCAGGAGCCGTTCAGCACCGCGGAGAGCTCCCCGCACAACCCGGACCCCAGAGTTAATAACAGGAGGTTATGGTGTTTCACTCTCTCTTCTCTATGACTTGTATCTCGACCAGTAGCCTACTTTTGTTGCGTTGCTGAACCTCTATGGTACACAAATGCAGTAATAATCATATATCGGAACAACGGGACGTTGGACTAATGAGAGGTCGGAACAATGAGAGGTCGGAACAATGCGGCCAGAGGTGGAAAGAGTACTGAAAATTTTTACTCAAGTACAAGTACTGGTACATTGCTTAAATTGTACTCAATTACAAGTAAAAGTACTGGTGTTTAAAAAATACTTAAGTAAAAGTACAAAGTACTCTTCTCAAAAACTACTCAGAGTATTAATAACTTTTAATTGATGGATGTTTTATTGCGTCGTCAATAGCAGGCATTCGATTCGATTCACCTGTATAAAATATCAAAAACAGCTCACCTTATACAGTGAAATTACTGCAATGATATGCCTATTATGAGGCAAGAGTGTAAACACATGGCACACACATGAATACAAGGGGCTCACTGACTCCACAAGAGTCACAGCTTTCCAGTCAGCCCCAAATTATCCAACTGTAATACTGTTTAAGGACCCCAATATGCAGGAATAATAAAATAGAATAGGCAAAATTACATAAATACCGCACGCAAAATAACCGCGTGGGTTTTGCACAAAACTGCAAGGGATTAGAGTGAAGTGGATGTGTCTGTAAAGGGGTAACGCTTATCATACAAAAACATCTTCATTCAGGTATCTTGAAGTAAGAGAACAAGGGACCCCTTGCTTGTGCCCTGTTTTCCATGCTAAACGTTAGCCTAAATTTGGAGCACTATTTACCCCCCTTACCGACAAGCTAACATGACATGGTTAATTTTCATGGTTAATGTTTGATATGACATAGCGTCACTCTAGCACAAAATATAGGCCTGCTGAATGTAGGCCTGTGAGTATTAAATGACTACAGATTTAATTTATTATAATGACGGTGGTTGTCCAAACATCTCTAAGAATTGTAGCTCAATTATGCATGCACGCATGCGCACATGTTAGCTAGCTCCGTCTCATTTTAATATCAGGCAAACCAATGGCAGTGACAATATCTTTGCAGACTTATCTTAGCCAAACTAATAACCAGTGCTTAATTTGTAAAATTAGAAATAGGGGAACACTTTGGGGCTCTGACAGAGCAGTGTTCCCCCACTCCCAAAAGTGGCACCCGAGCCGCCTCACTGCGTGACCCCGAATGGAATGGTTATGACATCTAGTGTTGTCACGGTACCAAAATTGGAACCCACGCTACGATACCAGTGAAAGTATCACTGTTCTGAAGTATCAGGATACCACAGCAAAAATGAGGCAGATGTGCCTTTTGTCATTTATAAAAAGATGAATCACTTTTCTATAATACGTCAATGATATTTCAATGGAATAAATTACTTATTGACTTATTCATACTTCAAAAACAGCATCAATAAGTGATTAACATAGGGGGCATCAAAATAAAATAATAAAAAAAATAAAAATCAACCAGCTCCCCTGACAAGTCCCTTCATAAGTAACGAACAGTCCCTAAAGTGCGGTGAGGTTTGTGGGCCGTGAATGGCTCGTTTCTCCTCTGACACACCACATAGCTGTGTGCCTCGGTTGTCCAGGTACTACTGGGCAGTCATGACGCCAACGAAAGAGGAAATTACTGGACCTGGAGTCGGACTCGCCGGTAAGCCGTTATGTTGCGGCACGGAGCTCACGGGATTTGCGCGGAGCACATGGACACTCACTCTTGGCTTCTTTGTCTCCAAATCTTCAGTCCATAAATAAGTCTCTACTCCGCTGTGTAGGTATGTTACTGCCAGACACCTGTGCCTGTTGCAGCGGAGTTGTCCTTTCCTTACATCATAGATTAATTGGTGCGGTCACGATCGGACAGCCTTATTAGCTACAAAGATGCAGATGAAAGGTTTGAATATTAATTCAAATTGTGGCCATACTCAGTAGCGACTTATGATTTTAAAAGCAGCGAAGTAGATTACATGGTGTAAATTGTACTCAACTAGGAGTAAAATTACACACTTGAAAAAAATACTCATAAAAGTACAAGTACCCAAAAAATCTACTTAATTACAGTAACATGAGTATTTGTAATTCGTTAGTTCCACCCCTGGCTACGGCACCAATAAAACATGAGCTTGGTAGATTCTCCGGGGAAGCCCTCTCCCCGCTGTTAGGGACCGTTCTACACGGTACCGCTGGCAGGGTGGAAATAGTCAAAGTGTGAAGGAGACGGACCAGGTTAAGCGTCCGACCTCCGAAGCCCTCTCGCCTCTCCCCGCAGTTAGGGACCGTTCTCCAAGGTACCACTGCTTCTCTTCTCAGTTTCTTTTCTGAAGTACACAGTAAACTCCATAGTTTTGAAAGAAAATAGTGTGGGTGTGTGCAGGTGCAAAGATGCATTCTGGGTGGGGCATGAGTGACCGGAGCGAAATTGGAGCGAGAGATAAGGCTCCGCTCCACCTTTTAAAAAAATAGCTGCTCCTCACTCAACACAAAATCGTCCCGCTCCCCACTCCGCTCACATGCTCTGGGGCCAATCAAAAAGTATGTCGGGCAAGTTGACTGACAGGTCAGGTCAGTGACGCTGTAAGGCTTTTTTTGTCAGGGGAACAACTCCAGCGGATTTTTATCCCGCTTTTCTCGAGCCTTCAGTGGATTTATTGGGCTTTTTGGCCAAAGGTGCTCTCACCTTTGCTCCTGCAATCAAACACCGGAGGAGGGGGAAACGTGCTGGTGCGCTTGTGCGCCTCTGCCAACGCGGACACCGCACACCGCTGCCATGCAGGTATATTTCTCTCCAACGTGCGTCCGGAACTCTCCGGCAAAACTAAAGGTGGAGGTATCTGTTTTTACACTAACAGTGGCTGGTGTAATGACGTGACAGTGATCCAGCAGCACTGCTCTCCTGATCTGGAATCTTTTTTTCCATCAACTGCAAACCTTTTTACTCCCCCCGTGAGATTGCTTCATTCATTCTGGTCAGTGTTTACATCCCACTGCAGGCCAACGTGCAGGAGGTAGGCTACAGCGCACGCTCGCCGACCAGATAGGCTACTGTGTGTGGAGCGGACTCCTTAGTTATTGTCCTTGGCGACTTTAACAAAGGTAACCTCGCCCATGAACTCCCCAAATAACAGTTTATAAAATGTCCGACCAGAGAGAAGAATATCCTGGATCACTGTTACACAACTGTTAACAACGCCTATCACGCCACTCTGACCACAACACCGTCCACCTGATTCCCTCATACAGGCAGAAGTTAAAGCTCTGTAAGCCTGTTGTGAGGTCATCTAAGAAGTGGATGAGTACACAGAGGCTGTGACTTCATACATCAGCTTCTGCGAGGACTGTTGTATATACCATCACGCACTACGATGAGGTATAATGGAGTTAAATGAAATAAAGTTAAATTAAATGAAGTTTTATATTCATTTTCTCTTTCTCTCTCTCTCTCTCTCTCTCTCTCTCTCTCTCTCTCTCTCTTTTTTTTACTTGGGCCAGTAAGAATATACAAGGGGCCAGTAAAACTCTGAACTACTGGCCCGGGGGGCCAGTGTGGAAAAAATGTTATGTTGAACACTGCTGTAACATCATAATGTTTTGCATAAAACACTTTTCTGGCCATTACTCAGCGTCATATCTCAGGAACAGAAGGGGAGACATTTGGCCAGATGCTGAATTGGTGACACTTACCTTGGGTGTCCACCTTGAAATTGTGCTGATTGTACAGATCTCCTGTGCTGTCGGGGGAAAGATGTGTGAGAAGTATTCATGTTTTCACAGACATGGATGTGAAATGTAAGAGAGACTTGGCTGGTGCACAGAGGCATACAACCTTGGGGTGGTAATTGTAGTTTTCATTATGTTTTTGTGAATTAAACTTGAACTCCCTTGACTTTGGACTACTGGATCCAGTAGTGCCACTATTTCGCCATTTAACTTCTGCTTGAGGCAGAGAGGCAGATTTCTTTTTTTCTTGTATTTCAGGATTAAGGTATCCTCTCAAAACATAACTTTGAAAAGTCAGTCAGCATAATTTTCTACCTGTGTGTCTTTGGATGCACATTTGGATTTAGATACTGACTTTAAAGCTCTAAAAAGCTTGATCATGAACAAGAGGTAATAAGTACACAGCAACTTAATTCTACAATTCTGATAATATAGTCTTGTTAACAAAGGAAAATGTTAACAGATGTGGCTATAAAGTCACATTATTATTTACCCTGACTGTAGTTTTCCAACAGAATTGTCAGACCAACCCCACATTGCAACCCCTTCACTGCTTTCTTCTTTCCTACAGAACTTCTTAGATAACTTCCCCAGCAGCGATGTGATGGTGTTTGTGGCTCGGACTTTCCTCTTATTCCAGATGATCACAGTCTACCCCCTGCTGGGATACTTGGTGCGGGTCCAGGTGATGGGCCAGATCTTTGGCAACCATTACCCCAGGTAGCACTGAAGGGTATTATCACTGAAATTCTTGTCTTGTCATTTCTGTGGCAGCATACCTGCACACCAGACTGATAAGGGTAACTGGTCTTTTTTTACAACAATGTCTTTGAATTTTGACAAAGTCTTGAAGTATTGTAAAATATTACCCGCCTAAAATTCAGACTGAATGGCAGTAGTACAGTATTCTTTCTAATGCACGTATCCTAATGCATGGCTGGGTCATCCAAATATTAACAGATTTAGATGAGAGTAATTTTCCACACAAAACTGCAGCTATACATTTTATGTGAAGCTTAATGAATAGTGAATTAGTGAAGCATTTAACGTCAAATAAGCAGGATAGAACTAACAAAAATTAAAAAAACATAACAGAAAAAGCTGTTAAATATGTTTAATTTGGCTTTAATAAACCTGCACTCTCTTGGAATTCAGAGTAAGGTTTACAGTGATTACAGAGGAACTCTGTAAAAAGATGTCAGTGTCCTGTGCAATAAGTCTGCTATCTTTCAGCAATGGTTTTCACATTGTCTTTCTTTAGTTTCCTTCACGTTCTGGCACTGAACATCTTAATCGTTGGAACTGGTGTCCTGATGGCCAAGTTTTATCCCAATATTGGATCCATCATAAGGTATGTTTCAAAGTGTTTTCTTATTGACATATACAGTATGATAGCTAATAGTCATGGATGTCCCGATAAAGTTTTATTGGCCCTGATTCTGATCCAAGTCATTTAATCTTAAGAATCTGCCGATACCAAGTTCCAAACTGATACTAATAATTGTCCTAGATAAAACAGCTTCACAGTGCACACTTAAAGTACTTAAAAGTTATTAAAATCATTTTAAAGCCCCGTTTCCACCAAACACTTTTGGTATTTTACCTTTGGAACCAAAAGTAACCCCTCAGACATGGTGCCTAGACCACCTAGACTGCTCCGTCCAGCACTCACTGTATTTCCCCATTACTGGTGACACAGATGGAAGTCTGCGCCTTGTTTATCGTCCATTTTCAGAACAAAATAAAAGAGGCTACAGTGAGAGTCTCTCTCTATGGGATATTTAAAAATAGTGTATGTGCATTTAGTCTTTCTCATGTTGTGTTTGTGAGTCTGGATTAACACAAGTGTTAGTCTGTGAATGCTGCGAGTTATAGTGAAGCCAATTTGTGTACTTGTGTTTGAAATTGTCTCTATTAAGCCATATTTAATGGGTGTTTTGAATCAACTAAACTTTACAGCAGGTGTAACTGGAGGTGTAACTGCAGACACATCACCACAGAAGTAAAAATGCTCACAACGGCATAGGCGTCGTGCGTAGGCTACGTGGGTAGGGTCTACGCACAATAATAAATCCCCTATTAGAAGTTGCCATCAGTTGGCCCCATGTAGTGTTTCTTTTCTCTGACTACAGCTACAGTGGCAGCAAAACAACTTTTAATTTTATAGTTACAGTCTGCTAATAAAACTCTCCACAATGTGAACAGTGGTTACATGAGCTTCAAAACCAGCCAAAAGTCGTCCCTGAGCAGAGTGACCGTTCGGTATTGACCAGTCAACTGACTGCATTGTTCACAACTTCACCTTTTAGTACCAAATCTGTGTGCTAGGTATACCAACAGAGTGGTGACAGAAAGTGGGAACGGTAGAGGTTCCATTGGTACTATCCACAACTTTCGAAGTAGAAACAGAAAAAAAGCACACCAATCTGAACTGTACTGTACTGTACTGCTCGGTAGAAACGGGGATTAATGTATAGCCTATGCTTGACAACTGAATAGCTCTGTAATGCATTTAAAAAAATCCCTGCATCCAAGCTGTTCCTTAATGTTTATCTTTATGCCTCTGCACCAGTGTTATGCTTTCAGGTTGTCTGTCTGTCTATCCATCCTTCTATCCCATTCTTATGAACAAAAGTTTACTTGGACTCGAGAATTAACTGATTAGATTTTAGTGATCAAAGGTCAAGGTCATTGTGACCTTGCATCCATCTCATTCTTGTAACGGGATATCTCAAGAACAACTTGAGGGAATTTCTTCAAATTTGACACAAACATCTACTTGGACTGGAGAATAAACTGATCAGAATTCTATGATGGAAGGTCAAGGGCAGTGAAATACGTTTTTGGTCGTAACTCAAAAAATTATATGCTAATTGTGACAAAAGTTCACACAAATGTCTAATAGGATAAAATAATGAAATGCTGACATTTTATATCCAAAAGATAAAAGGCCAGCTTTACTGTGACATCTTAATGTTCTGTATAAAACACTTGGATGTTAGTCAACGTCATACCTCGGGAACAGAAGGGAAGACATTTGGTCAGACACTGAATTGGTGACAGTCATCTTGGGTGTCCATCTTGAAACTGTGCTGATTGTATAAATCTAATGTGCTGTTGGAGGGAAGATGTGTGTGAAGCATCCGTGTTTTCACAGACATCGATGTAAACTGTGAGAAAAACTTGACTGGAGTGGAGGCATGCAACCCCAGGGCTATAATTCTAGTTTAGGATTGCCCATAGGATGCACTCTAAGTCATCAGTTAAAACCACTACTTGAGCTGTTGTGAAACTTTAAACTGTGCTTTGTACTGATGCTAACTTTGTCTCCCTGGGCAGGTTTTCTGGGGCAACATGTGGCCTGGCTTTAGTGTTTGTCTTTCCTGCTTTAGTCCACATGATCTCAATGAAGAGACAGGGGGCGCTCCACTGGCCGTCAGCCCTCTTCCACAGTTTCCTGATCATGCTGGGCGGGGCCAACCTGCTGGCTCAGTTCTTCATGTAGAGAAGCAGTCAGACACAAACACTCTAAGCTGTTCAATAGCAAGGTGTGATCAAGATATGATCATCAAAGTGTGATGAAGATTTCAGATGGGCATCTCTGAAATTAGATTGTCTGTATGTAACCACACAGTGTGTATTATCCCACTTAATAATAATGCCCAGATAAACCACAAAAGCCCCCAGACAATCAGATTGAATGTCTCTTTCACTGATATAAAATTCAATATCTCTCACCTTCTGTAGGAAGAGTTACTGTTGGGATTGGTAAAGGTTTATGTTTCAGGGGAATAACAAGAATCCAATGTCTTGGTTTTACAGCATTGTCTTTCATTTTCTACAAGCAATCCAGTCAGTGGTATTTCTATGATAAAATCTCCGTTACAACTTTCTACATAATACTGTTCATTATTTCTGCCTAGACTGATCCCAGACCTGTCGAGCCAAGTCATACAGACACATTATGAGCAGTGTTCAGGCTCTTGATAACTTCAGCAGCAAGCTGGCCAGAATATTTAGAGTATGAGCTATTTACCAACTTGCTATTGCAGGTTTAAATTTGTTACATGAGAAGCTTTACAGCTGGATTTTATGATCATATATTGTCGTGCTGACACTATGGAATCATTTTACTAACTCTGTGATTATGTAAACTGTTGTATCTGTTTTGAGGAGAGCCATTTTATATACTTTTTTTTTTGTTAAGAAACCTTTGGCACAATCTTTTGATTTTTATGAGCAGTGTTGATTTACATATTTGACATGTTTACATGATATGCTATTTTTGAGATACTGCGCCCCTGTCTTTTACTAATGATAAGATAGACAAAGGGAAAATGTGTGTGAAAATAAACCATATCAGCCTACAAGAATTGTTTTCCTCTTTCTGTTTTTAATAAGATAACATTAGAACTTTATTTATCCTGAGGGAAATTTGTTAGGCAACAGTAGCAGTATTAAGTAGGAAAGGTCGCATATACATAGAGTGAGGTTATAAAATTTAAATAATAAGGTGCACAATCAAAATATACACAACAAAAAAAATTGAAACAGGTTCACAGTAAGGATCAGTCTTCGTGGGTTGCATATATGTATGTATCGTTTCAAATCTGAAGTAGGCCTACAGGTAAATGTGTATGTTTAATTTTGGATGTTCATGATTATGTCCGTGATATTACATGTAATGTCCAAATATTGCACATTATACCCTGTAAATTAGAGCGTTGTAATTATTGTAATCCATGAGAGATAGTAATCCAGAGAGAGAGGGCGAGAGATGAGTGGAGCAGAGCTGGAATGGAAGCTGGACTCCCATCAGCATGTCTCTGATATCTAGCTCTCTGCTTGAGGTAAACAAGTTGTGCGATTTTATTTACTGCTGAAGTTGCTCATGACCAGACGTAATTATAATAAACTAAAACTAAACTTAAATTAGATGCGAAAAAACACATTTGTTAACTGAAATAAAAATAAAAGCTAGACTTTACAAAAACAACTAAAATGATAGTCTATTTACGAACTAACTGGGATGTCTACATGACTGTGAGTCAGTTGCCTTTATAAAATGTTGTTTGTATTGTCATACCTGTTCTAAACCTCTTAGATCATGCCCCTGACCAATATCCCCCATATAACAATATCAATAATACTAAAAAAAAAAAAAAAACTGACATAAGGTTATGACAGGCCCCAGTGCACGTTATTATGATGGGCCCCAGTGCCAAAATGTTTCTGAACTAGCCCCATATAGGCTATCCTAGTATCTCATTACATGATCAAATAAAGACTTTACCCGGGGGGAGAGCTAGCCAGCCGGAGAGGCGGGCCTTAGGCCATGGTGCCCAGTCGGGCTCAGTCTGAAGAAACAACATGGAGCCGTTGCCCTGTGGGCCCACCACCCGTAGGGACAGAAATCGGGGTCGGGTGCATTGTGTGCCAGGTGGTAGGCATAGGAAGGGCCCCTGGCGTGCCGATCCCTGGCATCATGGACTGGCTTTTGGTACGTGGAATGTCATCTCTCTGGTGGGGAAGGAGCCAAAGCTGGTGTGGGAGGTGGAGCGGTACTGACTAGATATAGTTGGGCTCACCTCCACGCACAGCACTGGTTCTGGAGCCAAACTCCTGGAGAGGGGCTGGACTATCACTTTTTCCGGAGCTGCTCAGGGTGAGAGGCGCTGGGCGGCTGTGGGGATACTCACAAGTCCCCGGCTGAGCGCCGCTGTGTTGGTGTTCTCTCCGGAGAATGAGAGGGTCGCCTCGATGTGACTGCGGGTTGCAGAGGGTGAACTGGGAACGTCTGGCAGAGGACCCTGTCCATGGGGTCTTCAACTCCCACCTCCAGGAGAATTTCTTGTGCGTCCCAGGGGAGGTTGGGGACATGGAGTCTGAGTGGGCCATGTTCAAAGCCTCCATTGTGGAGGCAGCTGCTAGGAGCTGTGGTCAGAAGGTTGTCGGTGCCTGTCGGGGCGGCAACCGAAGAACCCGCTGGTGGACACCAGTGGTGAGGGAGGCTGAAGAAGGAGGCCTTTCGGGTCTGGCTGGCCCAGGGAGTCTCCTGAAGCAGCAGACAGGTACCGTTTGGCCAGAAGGGCTGCAGCTGTGGCGGTCGCTGAAGCAAAAACCCGGGTGTGGGAGGAGTTCGGGGAGGCTATGGAGAAGGACTTTCGGTTGGCCTCAAGGAAGTTCTGGAAGACCGTTAACCGACTCAGGAAGGGAAAGCAGAGCTTGTCTCAGGCTGTGCTCAGCAGAGAGAGAGAACTGCTGGCCCGAACTGGGGACATCGTCGGGCAGTGGAAGGAGCACTTTGAGGACCTCCTGAACCTGGCTATCACGTCCACTGAAAACGAGGCAGAGCCTGAAGACTCAGGGGAACTCTCCCATATCCCTGGCGGAGGTTGCCGAGGTAGTTAAAAAGCTCCCCAGTGGCAAGGCGCTGGGTGTGGATGAGATCTGCCCTGAGGTGCTGAAGGCTCTGGGCACTGTTGGGCTGTCTTGGCTGACACGCCTGTTCAGTGTCGCATGGAGGTCAGGTACAGTGCCTGCAGAGTGGCAGACCGGGGTGGTGGTCCCCATCTTCAAAAAAGGGGACCAGAGGGTGTGCTTCAACTATTGCGGTATCACACTGCTCAGCCTCCCAGGTGAAGTTTACTCCAGGGTGCTGGAAAGGAGGCTCCGACCAGATTCAGATTCAGGAGGAGCAATGCGGATTCCGTCCTGGCCGTGGAACAGTGGACCAGCTCTTTACCCTTGCAAGGCTGCTGGAGGGGGCGTGGGAGCACAGCTAATTCACAATGCAGATGTGTAACATTATGTGTTGTGTACTTATTTAGACAACTGAGGGCTTATTGTAGTTTCAGCTGGACAAAAGAGGATGCTTAGCTATTGATTTTAGTATTGATCACTCTCCACTCAACATGCATATTTACCTATACATTTTTGTCCTACCCCATGCAGAGCTGGCTCATGAAGCACTTTGCGGACACTGGCAGATTGACCCCTGAACAACACACCTATAACTACAGATTAAGCAGTGCACGGTTGGTTGTGGAAATGGCTTTTGGGAGATTGAAAGGACAGTGGAGGTGCCTCCTGAAAACCTGTCATTCAAATGTTTGTTATATTTAGTTCTGGTTGTGTATGCTGCACATGTTATGGCTGCTACTCTCCATTGTTTTTGCTGTTTTGTTGCTGCTTACCTGACTACTTTTACCTGTGTTTGCTGGACTACTTCATGTCACCAATATTGTTTCATCCTTCAGTTCAATAAATTCATATAAATGATTATGGCTGTCATGTTCTCATTTCTTTATAAACACAGTGACTGAAGACATCTATGAAAAGCATCTTCATAAATGGGTAACCTGTTGAGGTCTTGACTTGTTTTTACTAGCTTTACTTGAACTTATTACACAGTTAAATTGTACATCATTAAGTGAAAACATACAGAAGCAGACATGT